ACTGAGGTGTACATATGCTGCCATCTTATTTATTCGTTTTTCAGTTATATTAGTCTTGTAACCTTTCAACTCTTCTTATGGCCTAACTTTTGCAGTCTGTCATATTTGCTCTTTCTCTAACAGTTGGAGACAAGTGGAAGGGGGCAAAGGCCATTTCAGATGCAGGCAGACAGGAAGAGCAGACAGATCTGGTGCTGATACTGCCAAGCTTATTCTTCACTGTCTCATTACCAGCTGGCCAGTGCCTGCCTGCTGGCCTCCTCTTGGTCTCCCTCTCTCATCCCCCCCCCCCCCCCCCCCCCCCCCCCCCCCCCCTTCTTTGTCTTCATCTCTCGGTCATATACAGTTAAGACATATACACCTTAAAAGCAAACCAGTCCGACATAGTTGGCATCACTACAGCTCAAAATCTCTCCTATACACATTTATACACAAGAAAACATGAAGCTTTTAACACAACTCCAATAAAAATCAATATAATAATAAGAAAAGCAAGAAAAAATAAAGCATATACAAAAGCATAAGGCCAAAAATATATATGAAATAGTTCTCAATCTTTATCCAACAATGATGATTAATGTCAACAGAACTTTCTAATAGCTTGAGAAAAAAATGTATCAGGCCAGTACAAATTAAAGCTATTTGGTGGTAACTTTTAAATATGTTGCTGATTAGAAGTTTAGATATACTCTAAAAAAAGAAAAGATTCCTTAGGCCTAAAACATGATCAGTGGGTGATTTAAGGTGAAAATAACTAACAAAACTGATAAAACAAGTATAAACAACAAAGGGATAAAAACCAGGCGGCCGACATATTTTAAAGTGAAGAAAAAGCTAGAGGTGTGGAAGGTGTTTGATGCTGAGAATCAGAGAGGGATACGTTTGATTGGTTCCACCTGACTGGGAGTGGCAGGAGAAAATAAAGCGGATATGAGCTTGAATGTTTGTGTATATGAAGTGAAGAGAGTTTCTGGTGCCCTCTGGGTCATACAGAACGAAGCAGAGACTTCAATAGCTTCCACACAGTGCTTTAATTTAACAGACTCAATAACTTCTGCCTCAAGACCTGCTCTGGCAGGCTGGGATCTGTTTTGGGGCAACACAAACACAAGGATGGAATAAAAAAACTATATTTTAAAGATGAAAAAAAAAGATTTAATCAAAGTTCCTAAGATTTTTTAAGAAGAATCCAATTTCAGCTCCAATTTACTTAGTAAAACTACAGCAGAGTCAACAGGGAATTACTCAAGGGAAGGATAACTCCTTGTCATCCCAAAACATAGGGAGCTGACAGTCCTCCAATGGTGGGTTAGCCTTTATTATGACACAGTAAAACATAGTGGGAATAAAGGCAACTAGAAATAAAGAAAAAAACAACAAGCAAACAAACAAGAAAAACTCAACAACAAAAACCAACAAGTCATGTCATCTCCAGAGTGCATTTCATACGCCTGTATGTCCCCCTCCAAGGACTCCCAGAGGACTCTGTTAAAGTCTTAGTGGAGCCAGATGGCCCCCATCTTAGGTATTCAGCTGTAGCGGTGAGGTAAAAGCCAAGAAGGTGTCACAGTCAAAGACACCCGCCATTGCTATCAAAATATGTGAACACACTCAGAAAACGTACCAAAAAGGCTTAATAAGGCTCTACAGTTTTGTTTTTTATAGACAGACATTTTTGAGTTGTAGTTTTACGCAAGCATGTAGTTAGAATGCATCATTGTATCTCTGGTACTTGCATATCCTTACAAGTGCTCACTAGACTGTTATTAATTTCATTTCAAATCCTTACAAGATCCTGCATTTCGTCAAAGTAAATCCATTCCCTCTATAATAAAACTGCCATAAAGTGCTTTTTTATGCATGTTTGTGTATAAACCAGACTTAATGCATAATAAATGTAAGACACCCTTTCCCATTGTAAGTATAAAAGCATGTGTTTCATACATTTTGATTGTCTGAGAAAAATAGTCTTGTTTAGGTGAATAATCAGCTATGCTCTGTGGAACTCATGCATCTCTATAACTACTACACTAATAATGGTTCTAATGCATAGCTGATCAAAATGCTGCTGCGCATTTGAATTTTATAATGCAATCAAATCTGTGGTCAAATGTGGATGCAGCTGAGCCCTCTCCCATATGTGTGCCATGGCTCTCCAGCCAAGTCACCCATCGTGGCGACCCATTTTCTGCCCGTCTAAATCCCAAACCACATCCCCTCTGTTTACTGGAAATCTTTCCCTTGTGCCTTGTCCTATATCCTGTAATCCTTTGCCATGTTCCAAGAACTCATGTTCAGCTATTGTCCTCCTCACCTGTTCTCCGCCGCCAATCATACAAATCACCTTTTGTCATTTCATTTCATCTTGAGCCAACTGTTCTGGAATTTTAAATCCCTGTGTTTTCTGCTGTGCAGTCACTCTTTTTTTTCCCCGTCTTCTTTACTTTCCGCCAACAATCTCCATTCCTGCATTTTCTTGACAGACGTTTCATTACAAACGTAGTCTTCCTTGGTTCTTTCCTGATATTAAATGGTTAATTTAGGAGCTTTGGGCCTAGTTAAAGATAGAAAACAGGGCCTTTCTGTTATCCTCCATAGACATTTATCTGTCAAATTCTCCTCCATCAACACACGTACCTCCTTCCTTTTCAGTGCTTTGTCTCGACTGCACAGGAGACCCGCTTTCTTCCTTTAGGCTCTGGGGTTGATTTTAATAAGTTCACATTTGTCATCTGCTTGTGTGGAAAGCTGTGGATTTGTTCTGTACTCCTTCTGAAGACCCTAGTGTACCAGTGCCAAGGTATATAATCTAAATTCCACATTGAATGTTCGCTGCTGAATTTTTGCCTGTCTATGGATTTTCCAGGTTGGAGCGAACAAAATTGAGCTTTGGTGTGAAAATACCAACCTATCATATAGTGACCTGTATCAGATTATTTTAATTTGTTTCTAATCCACTGCAAATTGGAAAATTTGAATATTTTTCATAATACTTAACAGCATTATTTAAACTACCTGAAGGTGATGCCTTTCAACTATGAACTACAGGTTTGGCATGTTGCTACTAAAAAAGGCAATTATTTTAGCAAATGACAAGTAGGAAATGCAGAGTAGGGCAGAGGTGCTTTTTTCTATCCTTTCAAAGCTTTTAGCATCTATGTATCAGAGAACCTGCAAGATTTTTAAATTACAGTTGCCTTTTAGAAACATCACATTAAAGACTACTGATGGCTCCAAACACTGCTGGTAGTGAAGCAAGCTGCTAAATGTAGGGCTGCAACTAACCATTATTTTGCAAATCGATTAATCTGTCGATTAATAGATTAATAATCTGATAGCAAAAGGTTTCTTAAAGATGATTTTTTAAATCAAATTAAACCAGGTGAAACTAAAACTTTTCCACTTAAGGAGTTCTGGATAGAGCATATTGACTGACGAAAAGTTTATATATTTTCTTTGCAATTTTGTTAAAATTGTTGCCCAAGATGGGTCGCTCTGTCATCTAAAGGCACATTTTAGAGTCTCTACACTCCAGTTAGCAAAAAATCTAATCACAAAAAATTAATTACAATAATCGATTAATCTGATTAGTTGTTTCAGCCAATGTTAAATGTTAAAACAAGATGCTAATAGCCGTTTAAATGAAACATATATATATAATTTTGAGGAGCGGTGTGAAGGTGTGAAAATGAAACATCTACAAAATGCAAAAATAGGATATCAGGGAAAATCCTGATTGTGGTGTCTTTAACCTTTGCTCTGTATTTTACATTATGTGCTTTGTCATCTGCCTGTCTCACATTTACAAATGGTTGAGACATTAGTCAAATGTCTCCAGGGGGTTTGGATAGAAAAGAAAACAAATGTGGGAGGCATAGCTCTTCTAAGGTAATTATATACAAGTAGCTTAAAAGGGGGCAGAAAATGGTTAAATAGCTTAGTCCCATCAAAGTTATTGAAATAATAACTGCATATCTGCACCTGAGCGACTTTGGGGAAGGTGGCGCTATATTCCTAACAGTAAAATGTTGCCCACAGCAGGGTGGGGGGATCTGACATCTAGAAAGACACAGTGTTTGTGCTGCCAGCCAGGCAGCATTAGCTCAGCTTAATTGAGCCCAGGAATCAAGGCAGGTGGCAGTAGAGTAGAAAAAAGGAAAAAAGAGACATCTGTACCATGCGGGTCTATGTACTGAAATCAGTTAAACAAAGGTGGAATGAAAAAGACACAGTCTGGTACGAGGCAGCACGTTTGCTCACCGTAGATAATCTCAGAACACCTTTAGATATATTATATCCATGCTCAATCTCAAATAGCTCTTTTTATCATATCCTACTGTTATGGTACAGCTGCTTTATCTGTGGATACTCTTTTTTTTTTTTCTTTGGGATGCCCAGGCACATCTGTCAGCTGCTGTAGTATGACTGGATGCTCAATCAATCAAATTCAACACCAGAATCTAAGCGCTGCTAATGAGAGTTTCAGCTATTGCATGAATGACAACTGATTAGTACAATCAAAAAATTCTGTAATTAACAAACATTCTTTAAAATTTCCAAGACAGTGGAGTAGCAAATTCCCCAGTTGTTACAAATATTATCATGGTTCAGGTAAATCGGGTATTTTAACCACAGATCTGACATCGTTTGAATGTATGAAGTCAAAGTTTTGAAAATTGAAATTTTACTAGAAAAACCCAGACAAAATTAAATGGAGAAATACATACATTTTAGGAAGGTTTTTTTTTTTATTATTAAAAAAAGAAAACTACTTACTTTCTGTAAATCCTGCTCTGGGTTCCTTTTTTTTTGCCTCTCTAATTAACTTTCTTTCTTTCACTCTAAATAAGGTCCAGTGACTGAAAAGCTTCAAAACCATTTGGATATGAAAATTCCCGCCATAAATGCCTCATGATATTTTAAAACCCGATGGATAAACCTCATGCAAAGATATCCTTTTCTTTGCCTTTGTATTTGTTTTGGGGGGGTGGAAGATTTACCTCTGATGATGGAGAGCTTGGCATTGACGGTGATCTCTCCTGCGCTGTTCTCGGCTACACATTCGTAAATGTTCTCATCACGTGGCGCTCGAAGAGGTTGGATTCTGAGCACAGCGCCAGCACCCTCGTCAAATTCAATGGTCTGTGAAATGAAGCACAAAGACAAAAAGTTTTATTGCTTTTGTTTGCAATTTCAATCCAAATACCAAAAGATTCTAACTTTGTTGTAAAGCAGATCACCAGAAAAAGGTAGTAACCATTGGTTACATGGAGCTCGAGGGACTTCTATGTGAATATAAACTATCTAGGAATATAGTGTCATCTTCTAATCTAGAATAAATTACTTTGCTTTGCTTACTTTTATATGATCTGCTATTTTAGGAAAGCCATTCCAGTAAGTCGTGGAACTATACCGCTTAATAGAATAAAACATTGATTCCACTAAATCAGGATATTGAAATATAAACACAGTAAATAAGCGTTATCAGAACTGAGCTGTAATGATAACATACACACTATATGGTTTTTAGCTTGTCATTGTTATCATAACAGGATTAATACATTTTATTGAAACGGTCAACTGGACACAAGTATGAAGATGGTACCGCTGTGATCGATAAATGTAAACACATGCCCCACATTTTTGGTATATTCTTCTGAAAGAAGGGAATCATTAAAAGAACAGTTTTCCTCCACAGTTCGTGCTTTTTGTTTTGATCTTGCTTAAATCTTTAATAATGCTTTTTTTCTTTGTTCTTTTTTACTTTTTGTTTGGTTTAGTTGAAAGAACTCAGAACAGCAAAGACAGATATCTCATGGATTAGGATTGTGGTAGCTACAAACAGAAGCTTATTCTTTGTTTAAATTAATTTATGATATTTGTGAGGGACAGAATCAATATTACATTTAGAGAATCTGGCCATCATTTGATTTAAATATCCTTTTCCATGCCTAATCTCACCATTTATCAATAGACCAATAGGTACAAAAGTAAAATTTTAATGGTGACAGTTCTGGAGAAAAAATGTTTCTAGCTGTTGAAACATAATTATTTGGTCTCCATTTGGATAGACTGGTCAGCCTCAGCAAATGCTGCAGTTTAAGGGTCAGCCTCCTAAATGGAAGCTTATACGATTTCAACCAAGGCTTTATTGCTCGTCTGTCGGAGCAGTGTGTGACTTTGAGACACAAACAGGAGTCTTCAGCAGCTCTGCTGTTCCTGTGAAGCACATCCCTAGCCTGAGCCGCTAATTAGGCTAAAAACACTGCCGAGCATGGCAACATGATCAATATCAAAGCAGCTGTCTAGAGGGCAGAAGAGATAAGAACAAAAATAAAACTACCACTTCAAAACCCACTTTAAAACATTTTTTTCTTGTCCGACTAAATGAAGCGTCCGTTTGGCTCGAATCCTTCGCCCCCTTGGCTTTGTTTACCACATAGCATGCAGAGGAGGAGCAAGCACAAAATAAGACTTTTTATTTTGTCTTCAGTTGGGATTCTGGTCTTCCTGTGGTTGCTGCTCTCTGCTGGGGGGGTCTCCTTTTTCGCGCCCTCACCCATGGTTTCCCTCATGATGCCAGTTGATTTGTGCGGGTTCGAGTGTGCACATTGATCTGAGTGCTGTCCCTGTTGTCATTGTTAAATAAAGCAACTTTTTAATTAAGAGACATTGAGCATCAGTCAAGACTTTTAGAGATGCCATCTGGGATGCCTGCCGAGAAGTGAATAACAAACATCATGAATAACGCACAGGCATAATCATGCAGACAGGGCTGCTTCCAGGAAAAGAAAAAAAAAAAAGCTACGGAAAAATGTGACAATAACAGAGTCAGTCAAGTGCAAAAAGGAAGGGGGATGCTCTGCATTTCATTACTGTGCAGCTGTAGCTAATGATGGATGTGTTAATGTTTAAAGGTTAAAGAAGTGAATCCCTGAAAGGTGTGATGACAGTGGTCTGCATCAGTTTGCAAAAATCTTGATAGGAAAGCTATAAAAAAAAAATAAATAAAAAAAATAAAATAAAAAATCGAATAAGCTTATATTAAATTAAAAATGAAAGAAGACTACTGGCAATAAACAGGAAAGCTCAAAGTCAAAACATTTATAAAACAAAAATATTCATATATCTTGACATTTTCTCATTTATTTTCATACTACAACCACAAACTACCTTCTACATATATTTTTCAACACCAAATAGCACATAAATATAATCAAAGTTAAAATAATGTGCAAATAAAAAAATCCCTCCCCTCTGAGCCACCTCTTTGCAGCACAGTTTTTCTTGCAGTTGCATCTGGAAGTGTTTTGAGTTATCCCTCTACCTGCGTTGCTCATAATTTCAATCAATAGCTCCTAACATGAATAAGCTATGCTGGAAGGTGAAATCTGAAGCTCCCTCTAATCTCAAGTCTTGAACAGTTTTACCTTTTAATTACCTTAACTCCTTCTTTGATCAAATCTGACCAGCTTCCCCTTCTCTTAAGAAAAATAGCTTCCTTGTTTCCATCATGAATCATGATGGAGTTTGTGTGTTCAGGGTGAATTGCAGTGGTAACAAAATACCAAAACCCACTATAATGTTCTGATAAACAAGAGAAAATTTATGTTTACTGTGTTCCCTACATGGCTTTAGGCAGAACTCATCCGACTACTAAGTTCTATTTTTTCCAACTTCAGCTTAATCTTGCTATTCATCCATTAAGATCATATTTCTGTAATGCCCAATCAATACATTTTTGCTGCCATTTGTGCAGCGTCGGGGCTAAAACCGGAAACCCACCAGATGGAGGACAAAACCTCTACATCCAAAGCCAACGTCGCCTGTGAACCATTCATTAATACAATAATTACTGCTGGTCTATTGCATAAAGTACTAAAAATATAATTGTAATTTGTGTTTGTAAAAAGATAAAAAATGTAAAGAAGTTCAATGTTTGTGACTTCTACATTGAAATTTAGAGGTACATTCTTTCATGCAGTTTGCTGTAAATCCAAATGAACATGGAGAAGTAGTCCTCCAGTATCACGCATCAAAATGATTGATTCTAATATGTTTTATGAGGTTAGATTTTTTAATTTACTTTACAAGACCTGCATGCAAGCAATTAGAGTTGTAATCTGTTGGCTTAGTGCTGTATGACATGGCAGTAACAAATACTCTGTCTCCTCATATTAATTCAGCCCAGCACACCTGCAAAAAGGAGAAAGGCACAGCATATTTCACAAACTTACCTCTATGCGCTGAGAGTTCACCTTCTTTCCTTTCTTGTTCCAACTAACTTTCGGCTTGGGGTCGCCTGTTGCCTGGCAGACAAAGGAGACCACGCCCCCTGAGACACCAATCTGGTCAACGGGAACTTTAGTGAAGCGCGGCGGTGCTGGAGAGCAAAGAAAAACATACATTACCACAGGCCATAAGATAAATGCTGCAGCACTGGTGCTAACTCAGTTCCTTTAATTACATTTCACAAAGAACTCACTTCCAAATGTCAACCGAGTTGGTGTGCTAGCATCCACACATCTTATCTGGCTCTGTATCTAATTTTCACTCTACGCCACTTATTTGAATCCACTGCTCAAACTGCAGTGCTTTACAACTTTCAAATTTATATCAGAATGCCCAGGTCGTGATTATTACAGGCCTACATATATATCATTCCACAAGGAAATAGACAAAGGACAACGGTTGGTGGAGACGAAAGGCTTTGGAAAAGATCATTAAAGTTATGACCCCATGAAAGGGAGTTTTCCCCTTTATGGTAATAACCAACAGTTTCTGTTACTGGACATGGTGCAAAACTATCAGTAGCTGAACTCCGCTGACTTAATATACGCTGCCTTTTTTTTAACAACTGAGAAATGTCTGTTAAATTATCCATCTCTGTCCATCAAAAGTTTTATAAAAGTCTGGGTTAAAGTAGGTTTAAGAGAACAAACTGGATAAAAAAAAAGAAGAAAAAAGAAACACAGCCTCCTGGGGAACTTGTTAAATCTGAATCACACAGATATACGGCAATGATCAAACGGCCAAGCGCACAACATCAAATTAATAATTGAGGGACCACGGGCCGACACGGGTCTCTGAGCACTGCTAAACACATATGAGGGAGAATTCCTGCATTCGTTATCAGGCGCAGAGAGGTGTGAGGAAGGAGAATGAAGCAAAAAGGAATGGCATGAGACATGGCAGAGGAAAGGAAGAAGGGTGAGTGCTGTGCCTCTGGAAAATAGGGCAGCTACATTCAAATTTTTAACTCACTGCCTCCAAATATTAAGCCCAACATTTCAGATGTAAATATTCTGTAGAGATCAAACCAACCGCTATACATCCCTTCAGATGACCCTTTCATTTATAACAGAATTGATAGGCACTATAAAGGACAAAAAAAATAATTTTCTCAGTCTTCTAAAGCTAAATGCCGTATATGTGATTTATGAGCCATTTAAGTTCAGTCCACTGTTATGGTGCCTGTGCTGGTAGTGTGAAAGGAAAGCTGAAACATCAAAAGTGCTTTTAAACTGTTGAAAAGAAATCAACCCAAAAAAATAAAACTTCTATCAACTGTATATTTCTCAGTGCTCTATATGTTAAGCATACAGAAAAGTCGTAGTGTGATATGAGCACCTTAGCCCTCCAGGAAGTTGCCTTCCTCATCTTCCTTTAGCATAAAAATGATCCCTTCGGGCAATTTACACTTTCAATTTCCATCCTGAACATCACTGAGCGGTTTTACACAACACAGCTCCTCCAGATTTGACCTCCCTTTACAATTTGCCCTCTGTTGAGACAGAAAAGGGCTTTACACACAGCAAGCCCATGGTAGCGGTTCTTTCTGAAGGCCGGCAGTCTTTGATTGGTTTTCCCGTGGACCGTTTGACATTTCCACCCAGGCGCATTCTCCCCCTCTCTCCTGCTTCGCAAGATGAGATAGATGTAGAATAAATGTGAACGCCTGGATGTTTGTCTGAATTTATCCTCTGACAGATTCAAGACTTTTCTTTAATACAATGTACTGCATATAGTTTTTTTTTTAGTATTACCTGAGGTTTAAATAAAATGGCCATGTATCCAAATAAATGCTATAAAAAACTTTAAGAAAAAAACAGATGGGACAGAAATAAAACTGAAATGTGACACAGTCATGAATGACAGGACAAGAAAAGGAGCAAGTGGAAAGGTCAGTGTTGGAAAGAATGCTGAAATGGTGGCGAGAGGAGGTGACAGGTCTAGAAGCTGGAAAATTGTCAAGAATGTGCGAGTCATTAAAAGTGCTAGACGACTTGTCAAAAAGTTTTCCTAAAATTCACAAACTTTAGCTCTTATTTAAAAGTGCAAAATGCTAAGCTGCTCTACAAAACGATGTGCCACGGGGTCTACACCTTATGAAAGAGACGTGTATTTAATCAAAACCTGTTCAGAACCATTTTAATTTCCATCTATAAAACATTAGGATACTCCTAAAGTAACAAAACTACTTTCAGTTGCACTTTCTAAACAAAGGCTTAACCTAAGGCTTTATAGATATTCCTGCACCTCATTATTTAAAAGATGCAAATCTATATAAATTAGTTTTTGTGTTACCATTACCAATAAGTAATCAAGGATAATTTGCACAGCAGCTTTCACACAAGAGAATCAAGCATCCATCCTTTTTCTACTGCTTAATCCTTGTCTAGGGTCGCGGTGAGGCCGGTACCTATCTCTGGCCGTCTACAGGCAAGAGGGGGCTACAACCTGGACAGGACGCCAGACTTTCGCAGGGCAACACAGAGACACACAACCATTGACACACAAACACACCTAAGGGGACTTTAGAGAAGCTAATTAACCTTTACTTTCACGTTTTTGAATTGTGGAAGGAAGTTGGAGTATCTGGAGAGAACCCACGCAAGCTCATGGAGAACATGTAAACTCCATGCAGAAAGACCAGGAATCGAAGAAAAACCTTAGGAATTAAATTATATAATAATTATATATATAATATTATTAATTATTTACAATAAAATAAAGTTAAATTAGGATAGATGGTATTCATTCATAAATAAAGGAAAAAATATCCATTCAGGAGTCAAAGTAGACTAGAATACAATTTGATTATTCTCAAGGAAAAGTTCTTCCATAGATAGTTATTTCAATTTTATATTTGCAAACTCATATTTTTTTCATTCTCAACATAAATAAGGCTCATACAAGTTTAAGGAGTAATTGTTTCTAGGCATAGATTTATCAAACACAAACGTTTTTCATACTTGACTCAACTTAGTTGTCTGAACTGTAAAATGATACTTCATTGTCCTTAATGTACCCATATAACTTTGTGCTAGCTCTATAAATCTGTTTGGTAATGTATTTGCTTTTGACTTGAGTGCACAGCAGAATACAAGGTTACTCCTAAGGCCCCGTGGGACTGCAGGTGGAGAGGTGACTGCATGTAATGTGAACTATTCCTAATAACAACCAGATATCCCCACCATATCAGATGTAAGCAATATCAAAACATTAGCAGTAAATCACCCAGGGTCTTTCTGTCAGGTTCAACCTAACTACAGCGCAGCTGCACTCCTAGCCCAGTATGGATTAGCTAGAAAAAGCAACTCACATTGACCCATCTATGGCTTAGACTGCAGAAATTGGTGCTTGTGATAACAGAAGTTCACATGAGTTGTACGTTGTTTCTTGGATTTTACGCAAAACTTTTTATCCATGTGCAAAAATATAGTTTTTCATCCTCCAATAGACAGTTTTTTCCAATTAATTAGAATTTTTTACAAGTCAAGTTAGCATAAGTTGGTGGTTTGATTTTGTTCGGAAATTCACCAGAACTTTCTAATGACTTTTCCCGTCTGTCTCATGAAAATCAGGAGCTTGATCCAGGGGCCACCATCGTGTCTGGCAAAACTTTCTTCTGCCGGAATCATTCCATAAAGATGTGCAGCCTTGATTACAGCAACCACACTGTACAATGGCTAATGTGAGTGCACACACTGTTTTACTGTTTTGGTCTTTATGCGAAGTCTTCATCTCAGCGACGCCATAGTCATTGATTCCAGACCCAGCATTACACACTTCCCCGTGAGCTGAAATGCTTTTTTCTATAGTCCCCAGTTTTGTTTTCCAAAAAGTGAAAATCACAAAATGGTTTTTATCATCTATCAGAAACTATATACTAATGGCTTAACCATTAATGAGGACAAAAGAAACGGAGAAAATACTACACAGAAAAATTGCTTGTGTATTATCATTTGTTTATGGTTAATTATAACAGTGCTTTTGTGTGTATTTACCATCAAGCACCCCTTCAGCTGAATGTGTAAGAATTACAATTATACTGCATTTACTACAGGGGGTATGGGGTTTATGATTGTGTGAACTCTGATGAGTGTAATTAACCTTCTTTTTTTTTCTCTGTTCTCTTTAGCTATGTGCCTCTGGGCCTCATCTGCCAGTTAGTGCTGACTTTAAGCATGGTCTTTTTTTTCACCTCTAATTTCAACCTTACCAACACCAATAATTGCAGTGCGGAAAAGGTTGAACAAGGTCTGGCTTTTAAGTGCTTAAAATGTTTTGTGGTCAAGAGTGATGGCACATAACAACCCAAAATATTAACAGGTGCTATATGTAGGTTGTGACATCAGAATGAAATAAACTACAGTGCAAAAGTGAGCAGAAGCTTTCAGGCTTTGTGCTCAATCATATCGCTTGGTAATGCTGACAGCTGAGCAAAGGGAGTTGGTAAAGTTGCTAAGTTGTTAACCTATGGCGGCTACACCTTGAGTATTTCAATTCCATGGCACTTTTTTTTTCCTTCCAAATCTTCCTATCAGAACATTTATCCTTCCATGTAAAATAGAATTTTAACAAAATATGCTTTCATTTCTTAACAATTTCATATATCAAGCTATATTGGCTAAATATTTTTTTTCCAGCTATAACATTCTATTGCTACTTGACAAGAATCTTTCATCTCCGAGGAAATATATATATTTTCTTTTAAACGTAAATTACAGTTTGGGGTAAAAGTTCTCAATAACTTCAAATGCAATCATCATCATTATATAAATCCTTCTAAGAAAGAGATAGTGACTGACTTTTGATATGCAACATTTAGTAGGATTTCATATTTCAAAAACCTGTTAGTTTAACAACAATATTTCAATGCATGTACTAGATTTTATACTTATAAAGGGTACCACCTCCATTATCAAACAGCTACTGTGTTAATCACCATTTATAAAGCTATGGTAAAATAATCAAATAAACAAATATTTATTGAAAAGATACATAGACAGAAAGAATTCTAAGAAAATCTGTAAAAAAAAAAAAAAAAAATCTGTAAAGAAAACTCATACACATGATACAGCAGTAATGAGTAGGGCT